CTCTGTCACTTTGAAGCCATTCCCCCTTGTCCTGTCACTCCATCCCTTGGAAATAGTCTCTCTCCATCTTTCTTGGAGCTCCTTCAGGTCCTGGAAGGCCACAATTAGGGCACCCCAAAACATTCTCTTCTCCTTAAGACTTAAAAACATTTGCTGTATTCAAAATACTGCCTGTCCTAGCAGGTAAGTTGGGAAACAATGGGAACAACTCCTCTTTCAAGTTAAATTTTCTCCCCTAGTCTCTACCAGAAGTACCTTAGTTTAGTGCAAACAATCCCAAATGCTGAAGTTCTACTTGAAAAAGCTCAGTATTTATTCCACATGAGTTTCTCAGGCCTAAATACTTCAAGCACATCCCAAATATCACAGAATAACCCCCGTGAAATCACATCTTCAGGCACATCCTTTGGAGAGCCTGAGAAGCAGCAGAGTCTCCCCCACTACTAAAATTGATGGGGCACAAGAAACCACAAAATTCATTGATTTTGAAGGTACAAAATTCAGCTTTTTTGGCAACAACAGAGGTGGGAGCTGGGCTGGTTTCACAGGACACACCTCCCATGTGACAATCCCAAAATAGTCCTCTTACCAAAGCTGTGTAAAATGGGAAGAAGAAGAGAATTGCTTCCAGAGTGTTCCTTTGCACAAGGACATTGGAATCCAATACTGACACACACAGAGACTTGATCTGCAAAAGGAAAACAACAAACAGTTTTTTACTCCTTAACAACATTTAAGGTACAATCAAATAATCACAAGAAGGAAAGGAAGCAAACTTGGTTACCTGTGAACAATATTTATTTCAAATAAGAGGATAATTTAATAAACTGAGTCATTTAACCCCTGCACCCAAAATGAGTTCAATTTTTGTGGATACCATTAGAAGAATGGTTAATATTTAGGAAACACTTGATTTTGTAACAATACAGAAAATCCCAGAGTTACACCACCAGCTACCAGACAGGATGTGAAGCCTCACAAAATGCAGATATACAGGCACTCTAATTAGCCTTACAATTATCCCATCCCTCAAGTTAACATGAACTACCACCTCCTGAGGATTCCCATGTTACTGGAAAAATAAAAAGACACTAAATTGCAGAATTATCCTGCAGAACTGACTTTGGGAACTCTACATTAAATAGTGTATCACAGAAAAGCTGGTCTTCAACATTAAATTTCATTTAAGTAATTGTATTAAGCAACTTCAAAGCAAGGACCTTTCAGCCTCTTTCTCTGGCTCCAAAATGTTTTTAAAGAGCCTGTTGTTGTTCTGACTCAATGCAGGGAAGGCAAGATAATGTGGTAGATAATGAACTTACTGTGAGCTTGTGATCTGTGCCAAGCATGTACTTCTGCTGCTTCCCAGACTGCTCCCTGTTGATGTGGCTGACCACAAAGAGGGAAGCAGGAAGTCTGATGGATGGACTGACCAGGACACTGCCCCAGAGAGCTCCATAAAACACCTCCTGGCCCATCAGCAGGGAGAGCTTCACCAGCAGAGCATCTGTCCTGTAGGGAAATATATTGGATTGGAGAAAAGATATCTTTGTTGGTTCAGTTTTGCCCCATGCAAAGGCAATTATCCACAGAAGTAGTGCTGGAGCTGATGTAATTTGATGTAATTTAATATCTTTATTAATGATTTAGATGATGGGATTGAATCCATCATCAGCAAATTTGCAGATGACACTAAGCTGGGGTGAGTGTGGATC